TCTTTCAAAATAAATACCCTTCACATTTAACAATGGTATTAGGAACAATCTTTTTTAATTTTATTTGTTTAGTGCAGATTAAATTTATGCACCCATGTATGGAAAAAATCTCTTACAAAAAACATGTTTAGTATTAAATGCTTTAGGCATTACATTATAGAAAATGTAATATGACTTATGCGGCATTGTGCATAATGAGTTTTCCCATTTTGATTGTCATGTCATTATACTTTGGAAAAGCCAAAAATTATGTTGGCAACTTCAATTATGCTTTTTGCAGTTTATATTAATAATCAAGCCTCTATTTTCAACCGTTTGGAATGATATAGAGTGCCAAATAGCAAAGTCAAACACTTATACCTGCCAAGTCTTTATCCTCACTCCATTGTCAGTTCCTATTAAGGTGGAACTGTTCACTAGCACATCAAAGACTTCAGCTTCTGAATTATCAGCCCCTAAGCTTCCAATGCTGCACAGTAATAACAACATCAATACATTTAACCAAACAATTAAAAATTAATCTAAACAAAACTGCAACTTAGAGATGTTTGTGATATAAATCATAAACCTGATTCCATGTCCTGGTCCGCAAGTAATATTTATAGCTCGAACTTGTTGGGACCCACTTACTATGGAAATACAGTCATCACCTTCAATAAAGTAGTGGGAAAAAAATTAGAAATTTTAAAATTCAAGTGAATTTTTTTATTTAATATATTTTTTGTGTTGATCTTCATTTTTACCTGTCATAATATTACAGTCGCTTATGATGATATCCTGAGTCTCCGTGACATGAATACCATCAGTGTTAGGGCTGTCCTCTGTTGCTGTAATCACCATATCCCTAACCCTAACATTCTTGCATCTCTGGATACGAAAATGCATTTGTTGTGCATTTTTTGACTTCAGGTTGCCACTCTCAAGGAGTTGCATTCAACGAAAGTCACAGCCTATGCAACAAATTTTCCAGGAAAAAATAAGTTAGTATGAAAATAGAGCACCATGCATTGTTAAATTATAATAGTTCAAGCTTTATGTTATGAAGAACATTAAGTACTTACAGTTGGCGCATCTTTGCATGGCTGTGAAACAAAAGGAGGAGAGTAAAGAAATAACGGTCAGTATTGAAAATCAATAAATTAAAAATCAAGAAAGATTCAAAAATGGGATAGTCATATATATGTGTTCTTTAAAATTCAATATTTATTGCAAAAATAATAATAATAATTATCATTGGTTATTCAAATATTAATTATTCTATGATTTAGCGGAGATAAATCCAACAGAACAATGTAAAAATGGAATAGGAGTTTTAGTCAATAGAGTCAAACTTCAATAACTTACAAGGTTTTTGTTTATTTTGCAAGAGTTCATCCACCATTTCTTGCCATTCCCATCGATGAGGCCGCCTCCATAAACTCTGAGATTCGTGATACTATCAAACATAATCCAATATGTGAGGCCACTTTTTCCTGTGTTTTCGTATGCTGACATATCAGGCCATGCAATGATTGTTCCATGGATCTAACATGAAGACGCAGGAAACACAGAATAATATTAGAATGAACTACCAGTGATAAACAAATGATTTATCAATAAACATTGCTTTTGAACATATATCTCACCGTAAAGGCAGTATTTAGTTTACATGGGCCTAAAAATGTTATTGGCTTTAGATAGTAGAAACTGTTTTCCGGGACCAAAAGAACACTCCCTGTAGAACATGCCGCATTCCATGCCTTCTGAAATGCCTAAAGCACAATAAAAAAAAAAGGCTAAGAGATTGAGAAATGGACTATTGAATATATATATATATATATATATATATATGTCATGTTTATCATGTTGTTGTTACATTACCTGGGTATCATCTCCATCATCGTTTGGTTTGGCTCCAAAGTCATTCACATTTGCCATTCTTTGAGACAAAGCAGATGGGGTGAATTGACTTTGAGACAGTGAATGTAAGAACCTGCACCGTTAATTAAGGTATTTAATTAATTAATTATGTGAAATTAGAAAATGATTCCATAATTGAACCCAAGGTTGTCAAACTCGCGATTTTACGTAACATCGTGAGGGGATAGTAAAATCGTAAATCGTAAAATCTCCACGAATCGTAAGTTTTACTTTTAAAAATATATAATAAATATAATAATATCCAACTAACATTATAAATAAAAAGACACAAACTCATAACAAAAAATTTAGAGACTAAGTGCTTAGAGTACAAAGTTCATCAAATTCTCAAAGTTAGCATCGTCGTCGTCATCTCCCACGACAACTTGTACTTGTTCTTCAACCATTTCTTCTACTTCCAAGTTTACAACCATGTTTTCTCCACTTTGGATTCCCACCATGTTTTCTTCAATTTGAGTTTCTAAATCCAAGTTTTCCTCTTGTTCTTCATCCAAACCCAAGTCTCCTTCCATGTTAGTTTCATTTTCATCTTCAACAACCCAATCTTCATCCGATGGAAGATCCTCAAGATCATGGATAAGAGGTTTTCTATTATTTTTCTTCTTGGCCAATTTTCTATTAACCATCACAAAAACAACATCATTCAATTTTTTCGTGGTCAGTCGGTTTCTTCTCTTTGTGTGAACCATGCCACTACCACCATTACAAATAGCAAAAGAGAAATAACAAGATAAAAAAACAGAACCACGCCACATAAAAAAAACAGCACCTCCTCAGCACCACCACGGTGCTCCAGTCGCTGGTCGGGTCGTCGGTCTTCAGCCGTTGCAGGTGGCAGTGTCGTACGATGGTGGGGAAGGAAGATGATTGTTTGCCCTTTCTCTTGCAAACGCGCGATGGGGATTTGGGGATTAGGGTTTATTTTTGATAGAAAATAGCTATTGAGTAAACTGGGTTGGGCCAAATCGATTTTTTGTCCAAATATTTTTTTTTTGCCATCACTGCCCATGAATCGCTAACTCGTCCCAAATCGTACGAGTTTGCGATTTTGCACAGTAAAATCGCGATTTTACTGTGCAAAATCAGAATTTCGATTTTACTACCGATTTAACTCGTCAAACAAAGTAAACTCGTAAAATCGTACGATTTTACGAGTTTACTCGCGATTTTGATAACCATGATTGACCCTAATAATTATTAAGAGGCTTTAATAATTATGGTAAATAATTAAGAATGCTGAAAGTCGCTTTTCGGAAGAAAAGTGCAGATACCGGTTCTGCTAGTCGGTATAAATGCGTACCGAAAAAGTATCCCGGAAAATTAAAGTAAGTGCATGATAATTACTAGAATGATATATAGGACTTGTAAAACGAGTTTCAAGTCCAAATAATGAGAACTGGTGCTAGAAACCGGTACTGACTCTGAAAAGCGCGTACCGGAAAGGTGCTCAGAAAAATATAATAAAAATATGATAAATCTTAGAAAATTATGTAGTTTCATAATCCAAAGTTTGGGATTAAAATGCTAAGCATAGAAATTAAAGTTAATACTGTGTGTTTAATGCTTTAGTGCCAATATATACTCTAATCATTGGGCACAAAACTCTAGAACCACTACTCCTACGTGACTTGAGCGGCTGAGTGCACCTTGGCACTGTTTCATTGCTGTGTTCTTCTTCCATAAGAGTCTTGGAGCCATTTCTTCCTTGTTCTTTGTGGTTTCTTCTTCTTAAACACTTGTGTGAGGGAGAGTCACCTTTGGGAAGGGGTTTATGGTGTTGTTTCTGAGTAAGGAGGTCAGCTTGAGAGAGTGTTGGGGGCTGACTTTGGGTTGGTGGAGGGAGTGAACCTTGTGCTTCATTTTTGGAGGTCCAAGGAGCCACCTTTGGTGAGGAAAAGCCTTGCTTGTCTTCCATTTTCGCACACCCTGTGTGGTCAGTAGTTGAGGGGCTGTTGGTGATCTCCAAGAGCATCTCCATTCTGAATTTTGAGCCTTGGTATGTTGTACCACCCTTTAACTTGAGTTTAAATGCTTAAAAATGGTACCTTGATGCATCTAATGGCTAATAGATGATAACTTGTTGTTGGGTAATGTTGAACACGCCTAGAAATGCATGATTAGGTGTTTAAAATCGGTAAAAAGGGAACCTTTTAGGGATATCCTCACGAAAATGCAGAAACTGCATTCTGTCATGAAATATCCGGATATTTGTCGAACAGATATCCGGATATTGCATATCCGGATATGGATAGTGAGATATCCGGATATTGCATATCCGGATATGGTCCCGAGGAATATCCGGATATTCTGGGATTTCGTGGAACAGTAGTTGTGTTGTGTGTACAGTAGGCTATTGGGGGTTTGTGGACCCTAATTTGATGAAGTTGAACTTCTGTATTTAGTGGACTAAGCCAGAATCATGGGATTAAGGGCTTGTGGCTTTGTTAGAAGCTTTAAGACATGAAAATGTAATGAAAATGCGTTGTCTTTAATTTGTATGCATGTGGTACATGTTTATTGATTTATGTTTGGTCCATATCAGATTGTGATATGCTGTGATTGGACTTTGAGCTTGTGGCATTGGATAGCTAGCTTAGAGGTAAGCTCTCGTGTCCTCGGTTTAGCCATGTTGTGGTTCCACCATGTCCCATTGGGATATGGTATATGCATGCTGTGTTACATGCTTTTGATGTTTTGGAAATGTTGTTGAGCTATTGTATGATAGTGCCTTGTTGATATGCATGGAGGTGTTCCACCTATACGGTAAGCCTGAGTATGTAGAACATACAAGAGGGTGAGGTTGTGGGTGAGGTGCAAGCGGTGTTCCTTGTACTACATGTAGGGAATAGACGTATTCCTACATTTCTCTGGCCAGTAGATAGTGATTACACACATGCCATAGATATCTGTTGCACTACATAGTTTTGGAACTGATAATGATATAAATGCTTTTAGAACTTATATTGCACATGTAAGTGAGCTTGGGGTGGAAGATCCTTGAGGACCCCTTGTCCTACTGAGATTTCTTGTTTAGAGATCTCACCCCACGTTTGGGGAATGCTTATTTCAGGGTCAGGTAATGTTGAGACCTCAGGCGGCAGGAGGCCGGAGCTGAGTTAGATTGCTGTTATATTATGCTGCCATGATTGGATGCTGGATTTGCATGTTGTTTATATGCTCATAGCTTCAATTATATTTATGGAGTTTTGTGTTGAGACTGGTTGTTTACTATGTTTATTTGGTGAGCATGGGGATTGTCCATGACACATAGTATTGTTATGTCTTGATTATGTCTTGAGTCTTTTGGTGTTGTAATAATGTATCAGGATATTGTCTGAATTACGAGATGTAATACCGTGATGTAGATACACACTTTATTTATATATTGAGGTATTTCAGTAGATGTCTTATTGCAATTTACATACAGGCGTTATTTTATGAAATTGATTAAGTAATCAAGTTGGTAATTGATAATGACGTTATAATTGAAAAGAAAAAGAATATTCCGCATTTTTAATTAAGCACCGCTTAATATGATGTAATGTTAATATTCCGAGTATACACGGGGTGTCCCACTTCCGAGTAATGCAGAGTCATGGTAAAACCCGGGAGAAACCGCGAGACTTCGGAGGATCGGCCCGATCCTGTCCTGGCTGCATTGGCTGAGATGCAGGCGGCCCGACAAGCCGACCAGGAGGCCATGAGAATGGCAAACCAGGCCATGTTGGACGCCGTTAGAGAGGCGAACAGGAAGGCCACTGAGGACGTGTTGGAGGCCAACCGTCTAGCGAACATGACGATGTTTAGAGTCATGTTGGAGGAGATGAGGAATGGCCCTGATGTTGGTCATGCTCCACCGCCACCACCACCACCACCTCCACCCAGTCTGCAGGATGACTCTCAAAGTCAGATGGGTGATGGCAATCACCTCACGGGGGCCATGCAGACCGTCCCTGTTTTTGTTGAGGATCGTGATGAGATCGACCGTCGGCTGAATGCTTTCCGTAAGCATAAGCCACCTGCCTTTGATGGATCCTTTGATCCTGTTGCTGCGGTGCGTTGGCTACAGGCGTTGGCTACAAGCGTTGGACAAGATATTTCGGGTCATGCAGTGCACAGATCCGCAAAAGTTGATGTTCGCTACTTACATGCTGGAGGGCGATGCCCATGAGTGGTGGACAAACCTTTCTCATGTCTACGAGATGCATGGTCATGTGATGACTTGGCCTATGTTCGAGGATTTCTTCTTGGGTCAGTACTTTCCATATGACGCTCAGGAGAGGCAGCAGGGAGATTTTGACAGATTGGTTCAGGGCTCGTTGTCTGTGGACGAGTACCTGGCCAAGTTCAACCAGTTGGTGAAGTTTGCACACTTCAGGATGGCGAGGCCTACTCCTACATTTCTGGCTGCTAAGTTCCGCAGGGAACTTAGTGAGGATATTGCTGGTTACCTAGCTGGTTCTGCTTCTAGAGATTTTGGGACACTGGTTCAGCAGTGTCGTGATATTGAAGATTACTACAGCTCGAGTAAGGTCAAGAAGGCCAAGGTTGCTGAGGCGACGAAGGTTGCAGCTGGTAGTTCCACTTCTTGGCGAGATAGGAAGTTTGGGAACAAGGGCAAGGGTAAACAGTTGGCAGCTCGGCAGGCGCCGAGTCAGTTCAAGAGGACTTCTGCTCAGGGGAGTGCAACGAGACCTCCTGCTCCCAGGTGTTCGAGATGCGGGAAGACTCATTTTGGGCCGTGCTCTACCGGCCAGTTGATTTGCTTTCAGTGTGGCAAGGAGGGCCACTTCTCCAGAGACTGTCCGTCGGCGACGACGAGGGCTACTGTAGTGCAGGCAGTGCCACTTCAGATGGTTCCCCTTCCACATACTTCGGCACCGGCAGTGCCACCATCTTCTGGGAGAGTTTATACTCTGGATCGTCAGCAGTCGGATCGAGCTCCGAACCTTGTCAGAGGTACTGTTACGATTGGTACATCAGTTGTTGATGTGTTGTTTGACTCTGGGGCTACGCATTCTTTTGTTGCTACCCCGATTGCTGTGGGGCTTAAGTTGCCCAGTGATGTGCTTTCTCCACCGATGCGGGTGACCGCCACCACCGGAGAAAGATGTGATGCTACCACTGTTCATCGCGATGTGGCGTTTCAGTGGGATGGTCGTGAGTTCTCAGTGGATCTGATAGGATTACCGATGGCCAACTTGGAGGTTATTCTGGGCATGGATTGGCTGTCCAGAAATTGTGTGATGATTGACTGTTGTGCCAAGTGTGTAGTGT